CAGCCAGTATATGGGGGTGGGGGGCCAGGCGCTCACAGCCATGGTATGGGGGTTCAGGTGCTCCCAGCCAGGGCACGGGGAGCCAGGCGCTCACAGCCAGGGAGCCAAGTGCTCACAGCCAGGGTACGGGGAGCCAGGCACTCACAGCCAGGGTATGGGGGGCCAGGTGCTCCCAGCCAGGGCACGGGGAACCAGGCGCTCACAGCCAGGGTATGGGGGTTCAGGTGCTCCCAGCCAGGGTACGGGGAGCCAGGTGCTCACAGCCAGGATATGGGGGTGGGGGGCCAGGCGCTCACAGCCAGGGTATGGGGGGCCATGTGTTCCCTGACAGGGCATAGGGAGGCCAAGCACTCCCAGCCAGGGCATGGGGTCCTGGTGCACACAGTGTCATGTCACAAGCAAGCCAGTGCTCCCATCCAGAGCATGGGGGTTCAGATGCTCCCAGCCAGGGCACGGGGTACCAGGCGCTCAGTGTCATGTCGCAGCTTCATGGGCAAACCAGCACTCACAGCTTCGTGTCCCACGCTTCTGCCAGTCCAGGGACATCTCTTCACACGCAGAAGCTGTGCGTGTTCTTACACCCACCATAACCCTTGTCCTCCTAAACAGTTAGCCAAGGATTTGAAGTCTTTGGCAGTTCTGGTACCTCCTTAAGATGGTTGAACTATCCAGAGCCCTGCCTTGCAATGGGGATTTGTTCCCTGACCCCAACCTGTGTCAGTGCAGACCTGAGTCAAATACTTTGTTTTAGGTTTCCCCCTGCCACCTAAGTTTTAGAGAGGTCTGGTTGGCATTGAACCTAGGAGTTGTGCTGGCAGGCCCCACTCTGGAGGTTCAAATCAACCAGCTGCTCGTTGGGAGAAAGATGGGCACTGTCCTCCTGCGTGATTTACGGCCTCAGCAAACCTGCTGGAGGCTCAGCCCTGATTCAGTTCCAACTCCACGACAGTGAGCTGAGTTTTTATATCATCACCTTTTGTTTTCAGTGTCTTTTCTAAATCTGATCTTGGCTTTCAAGATTGGAAGCAATACATACAAACTTAAAAGCTAGAATGGCATCAGCAAATTATATGCTGGATCAGCGTATGAAGTACACATTACTGTTGATAAGATGTAACCTTCCCAGAAAATCCAGCCAATCAGTAACTGTGGTTCATCACAACTCGAATACCTCATATGATGCCATATGTTTGTGCTCATCCAAGAAGTCAACAGGGACTGCTGGTGAATTCCTCAGAGCCCCATATACTGGGCAGCCTCCAAAGTCTAGCAAATTAACTTGACTCTGGCTTGTGGCAGGTGCCCCATGTGTCAGACAATCTCCCTGAGCATCTCAGTGGCCAATGTTGTCAGTAAATTGCCAGGCCTTTCTTCCTAAGCTCCTGTGTCTAGATGAAAAGTCCAGCCACTCTCTTAGCAGGTGAGTGAGTTACCTTTTTTGCACTTAGAGATCATTCTAACATCCCTGATCTCATTAAGTCGTCTGCACATGTGCTAGCCAGCGTGACGGGAGACCAGCAGACTGTCGGCTGGGATTCACATGTCCTCAGGCTCCCTGTCTGCTCTGACTGCGCCAAAGTAACTGAGGCCCTTGACCCCTTATTCTAAGTGGGTGAAGGCTGCCAATATGGTCCGGGCTCCTCAAAGGGATCATAAAGTTGGTTTATGACCTCTGGTCCCTGTGCCCAGGACAGCCCACAGGTCTTGGCTCTGTCCCCGGCAGCAAGATCTGGTGACCTGTGTCCATAATGACCACATCCAAGGAAACTGGGGTGCAGTCCTGCCCTACCATGGCACATGGACTTGCTCCTTGATGGTGAGCAAGGTGAACAAACCACAGGACAACATAAGTTTTCTTGAAGTCGTCTAATGCAGGCCTGGTGTGATGTGTCACCTGTACTGAGCGCATGCCACCTGCAACCATAGCCAGTTTACATGCATGCATCTCCGTGTGGCTGAGACTTCTTTCTCAGATTATGGAGGTGCCCCCTCGGGGTCACAGAATCAGATGCCTCCCTCTGTCCTGCCACCTTCCCCATCTGTCCTGGGATAAGACATATAGGGGACCACTGTGGCTCACTCAGCCAGAAACCCATCCCACTCAGATACAGCTCACATCCTGAAAATAAGGCCCAAGGAAGCTGGGAGCCTGGCAGGATGAATTTCCAAGTGGCACCGAGGATTCACAGGGGATTCAGGTGATAAAGGAAGTATATATACACTTGGGGTTGTACACCTAACACCCCTGAGATGTCTCATAAGAATGGGCTGTTTCTCTAGTTCTGAAAAATCAATCAGTCATTGAAAAGGTGTAGTTCCGTTCTGAAATGTAGGGGGTCACCATGAGTTGAGGTCACCTCCAGGGCAACTAGATCCTTTCTTTTTTTTTTACAATAAGGGCTAGAGAGACACTAAGACATGCTCCTTGTTGTTGTTGTTGTTTGTTAGTTGTTGTTGTGTGCCCTTGAGTCTAAACCAACTTATAGGTGAGCATCCAGCAGGTTTGCAGAGGCGGTAAATTGCACAGGAGGAGATTGCCCGTCTTCCTCTCATGGACCAGCTGATAGATTCGAACCGCGTGCCTTTGGATTGGCAGCACAACTCCTTCCCACTGAGCCACCAACACTTCTAGATATCTCTACACAATTGCTAAGTTAACCTCTTTGAAAGTAAGGACCTCCCTGCTTTCTCCAGCAGGGACATATTCAAGAAGAGGAGTTACATTTTATTTGGCTAAGCGTGTTCCCAGGGCAGTTACCACTCTCAGACGTGGGCATATTCTTCCCAAATGGAAACCCACTCCGTCGGTGAGATGCTGGTGGAGTTTCACTATTTCAGGGTCACTGCTTTCAATTAGAAGATCCGAGCTCTGCTGGCTACCCTGGTGGATGAAACGACCATGGCTGGCATATAGACACTTTCAAATCAAATGCTCCCAGGGTTTGACCTTGTGTGGCGGCCAGAGCTGTGACTTGGGGGAATCACTGAGGACATGCCAAGGCAGGTCATTTCTCTTCCTTTCCCAGGCTTACCTGGCAGGTATGATTTAAGCGCACTTCCCCGGGAGGGCAAAGCTACCTGCCAAGTGTGGGTCAGAAAGAAACTAAAATTCTGAGTCCATGCCAAGAATCTCCAGTGTAGAGCTCAGTCATCTGTAAGCGCAGGATTTGAGACTTGAAGCTATACTATAGGAGTTGGAGGTAGAAGTTGATGGGTCCTTTGAGACAATTCTATATGAAACAGAATAAATTCTGACCTGCACCAACCTCATAGTTGGTGCTATGGGAGAGCCCGTTTCTGCAGCCACTCTGTGAGACCGTCTCTTTGAGGGTCTTCCTCTCTTCATTGATCCTCTGATTTGCTAACGTGATGTCCTTCTCCAAGTTCTGGCCCTGCCTGACAGCATGCCCACATTTCCAAGCTGTCTAGCTGTAATTCTTCCAAGACAAATTGGTTTGGGTTTTGGTTGTTGTTATGTGCCGTAGAGTCACTTGTGACTCATAGTGACTGTATACAACAGCTCAAACTCTGCTCTATCCTGAGCGAACCTGTTGTCTCCGACACACCTACCCCCACTACCCCAGTCACTGAGTCAGTCCATCTCATCCGGGGTCTTCCTCTCCTGTGCTGTCCCTCCACCCTCCCAAACATGTCCCTCTCTAAGAACTGGGTAGTCGGTCACATTACGTTCCAAACACTGTCTTTCAAAGGCATCAGTTCTACTTTGATCTTAACTTTGATTATTCACTGTCCAGCCTTTGCGTGCACATTGCATATGAAGTGATTGAGAAGATCACGTCTTGGGTCAAGGACACTTTAATCCTCAAAGTGATGCCTTTGCTCTTGAACCGTAAAGAGATCCTTTGAAGCACTTGTGCCCAGTGGGGTCTGTTGTTCGATTTCTGTCTGACCTGCCGTTGTCTGCAGCTGCCCTGAATCCGCGTAGGCTTGTAGGGACGCCGTGTGACAGAACAGAGTTGCCCTAGAATCATCTTTCCTGCTGTGATCATCTGCCCCTGCAGCTACTGGCTGGGTTTGAACTGCCAGCCTTTCTGCTAAACCTCTTAGTGCTTACATGTTGCACGCCCAGGGCACCTTGCATTTGCATGCCCAGCAAACCAGACGTGCTCTTGCCGAATGGACTCCAGCTCAGAGCCACCCTCCCTCGGGTTTCTGAGGCTGTAAATCTCGTAGGAAGAAATTGCTCTCTCTTCCCCCCCCCCCATAGCAGCTGGTGGATTTGAACCACTAGACATGCACAGCCTTTTGGTTTGCTGCACAACATGCTATAGGTTATGCCACCCGGGCTTCTGCTGCAAACGACTGACTCCAGCCCACAAAGCCCCGTGGAACGGTTTTCCTCAGTCACTTCAGACCATTCCAAGTTGGAATCATCCAGATGCAACCTTGAGAACAACAGCAAATGACTGACCTCAGCCAACATATACACGCTTGTGCGTGAGCATGGGTTCAGTCAGTGTTGCCACATGAAGTCCTTGCATCTCGCAGCCCCCCAGCCTCAAGGGAGCTTTCGATCTTCTGGAAAAACCATTGCAGTCCTGCAGACACAGCAGACGTAATGAGGTAGTAGTGTTGGGGCTGGCTGTCCTGAACGAAACTTCACTTCAGTTCTGAACTGGCTGGTTTACATAAACGTGTTTATTCCATGTAAAGTGATAAGTCTTTTTAAATCAGAAGCATCATTTATTGTTTTCATGTGTGATTTCAGTGATCATTTTCAGAACAAACTGGTTTTCCAACCAATTACTTAAATACAATGTCAAGAAAACAAAGATTCTTACCACTGGACTGATAGGCAACATTATGATGGTTGGAGAGAAGATTGAAACTGTCAAAAGCTTCATCTTACTTGGACCCAGAGTTAACACCTTGGTACCAGCAATCAGGAAATAAGGAGACACACTGCACTGGGAAAGTCTATGGTTAGGGACTTCTCCAAATTATTGAGGAGCAATGATATCAGTTTGAGTTCTAAGGGGCATCTGATTCAGGCCACGTTTCCAGTCATTTGTTACGCATCTGAAAGCTGGATAATAAATAAGGATGACAGAAGAAGAATTGGCACTTTTGAGCTGTGGTGTTGGAGAAGAGCACTGAACATCCCATGAATGACCAAGAGAACTAACAGATATGTTTTGGAGAGGGAGCAGGCAGGGTGCTTTCTGGAGGCAACGATAATGAAGCTTTGCCTCACACACCTCAGTTATGTTGCTAGGAGGGGCTCTTCCTTGGAGAGAGATATGGTGCTTGGAAGGGTGGAGGGTTGGCGAAGGAGAAGATGACCTTCAACCAGGTGGATTGATACAGTGACCACTGCAATGGGCTCCTATGTCAGGAAGTGTGAGGATGGTGCAGGATGGGAGAAGGTTCAGAGGGTCACTCTGAGTCCTCCTCAGCTCAACAGCACCTAACAACTACTACTCATACACAGTTTGTTTTATGACACTAACCACAGTCAACTTGACGGCACCTCACAACAACATCACAGAACTCACATTGAACCCTTCTCTTCCTCCCGTCTGATTCGCATTTCCAATGGTCCTTCTCTCCTCCCCCTTCCTGCCCTCTGCCCTTTGCCTCTCTGCACACACTGCTGTTTGCATCTGGTATGGTTGATTATTCTCAGGCGTGAGTTCCTCCTGAGTGTTCTTGTTCATCTGTCAGCCTGTTTGTGATTTGGCTGAAAAGTTAAGTTATAGAGGTGAGTTTAGTTCCAGGCTCAAAGGGTCCCCGTTTCAGAGGTTCCACGAACCTGTCAGACCACCAAGCCTGGCCACTTAGATGATTTTGAATCTTGTTCTTCACTTTTTTCCTGCTCTGTCCAGGTCCTGCTGTGACCCATTTTAGAGTAGTCACCAGTTTTAACTGAACACCGTCTAAAGTTTCTGGGACTGTGATGGTTAAGATTCGTGTAATCCATCAGGCCTTTGTGCTAATTGCTTCAATGCATACTCTTCCTCTTTGTTCCGGATAAGGAGAGACCAGGAACTCAGATGGAACATGGCCATAATTCTTAACTCTGAGCCCAGGAAGCATTCCTGGGAGGAGGTAGGGAACCCATCTGAATCTGTGTGTCCCTTTGAAATGTGGAGTTTAAGATGCCTCCGTCCTCTTCTGAGTCACATTTCCTGTCTCTGGCAGTGGGACTCTTTATTCCTCGGCTCTGTGACAATAAAGTCTGGGAGAGTTATTTTGTAAGGACACCTTAATAGAATAACCCAGAGAACAGTAAGCTGCTTCAGGTATTGGTTAGGAGCCTCAGGTAGTGGTTAGGAGCTTTGGTTGCCTAGTGTCAAGAAGCTGCACTGCAATCCTGAAGGCACATGGTTCCAATCCACCAGCCACTCCATGGAAAGATGGTCAGTGTCCTCCCATGTGATTAATTACCTCCGAAAACCTACCAGAGGGTCAGCTATGGGTCCGTTCCAACTCAACGATACGCAACAACAAGGGTATGGTAGAAGAGAGCCTTGTACAATGTTCCTGTTGAGTCCAAGGTAAGTAGAGCAATGAATGCTATTGTCAGAACTGACCCATAGCTGACCCTCCAGCGGATTTTCAGAGGGCTGTTAATCAAACAGGAAGAGATTGCTCATTCTTCTCCTGCAGAGCAGCTGGGGGCCTCGAACCGCATGCCTTCGGGATTGCAGTACAGTGAGTGGAATTAATGCTCCTCATTATGTTCAAATTGGCAAGTGTTTTGTTAGATACATAGCCCAGCTGCTGCCTTCGATTTGATCCTCTATCAAGTTTTCAAGACTGTAAATCGGCAGTCTTGCATCAAGAGTGTATTCGTTTGTTGCCGTTGTTGGAAAGGATGAGTCTTGTTCTTCCTTGTTCTCCAGCTCTGTCCAGGACCTGCTGTGATCCGTTTTAGAGGAGGCAGCAGGGCACCATCTAGTGCTTCTGATCTCAGCACTGTGATGATTGACACTCGTGTGATCCCTCAGGCCTTTGCTCTCATTGCTTCTATGCATTTTGTGATGGATTTTCAGAAACACTAAGCCATCAGGAGCAGGAAAGAGGAGGCCTCTGTGTGTCCCATGAAGTAGTATTCTTTGTGTCTTTACCTGAATGCTATTAAACGGACAGAGCAGATAAGCAATAAAACAGAGCCACCGAGTGAGTGAGTGATGTGTGATTTTAGCTCCGGTGAGGTGGTCTGCATGCACTTAGGCTGCCAGCCCAATGGTGGTGCCTCTTAGAGATTCTGTCCACCTACAACTCCAAGAGAGAGAGGTGAGGAACCTCCTTCCACGGGATTGCAGCCTCAGAATTCTGAGTGAGGGTCAGGTAGGAGTTGGAACCAGCTGGACAGCAGTGAGTCTGAGTTCTGCCTGGGGCTCAGAATGGTTCACAAGACTATAATGCAAATCGGAATGTAGTGGTTATGTGCCGTCGAGTCACCTGGGACTCATAGCGACCCTATTTACAACAGCCCTCAACCGTGCTCTCTCCTGTGCCAATCTCACTGCCTCTGACATGGGGGTGCTCTTTTAGTTACTCCCCCTAAAAGCGTTCCTGCAGACTGTTAATGCTGAAGCCAGTTTAGCACTCGTTTTAGCATTTTGTTTATTATGTTTTTTTTTGGCTGGGTTATTTTTTCCCCCTGAGAAATAATTCAAGATTTATTATCCACTTATTAAAATCTGGTTTTGAATATTAAAACCTCTGTGTACAAAATGGAAAAGTCCCTCATAAAAGGTTAGGGGAGAATGTCTTAATCTCAGTATTGTTTGTTTGTTTTTTAAATTAGAGATTCTTTTGGAAAGTGCCGATCCTTGACCACCCTTGTCTTTGTTGACAGTCACAAGATTGAGAGGCCCATCTCCCTGAGAAGGGCCGTGGATGAGCCGATGGCATCGAGTCAGGCCCTTGGCCCACATCCCGTGACAGCCGAACCAAGGCAGTGACACCGCTCTGATTTCAAAAGACAACTGCCCCCTTGTTTGATTTTCTCCCCACATTTTATTGTGGTTCTGATGAAAGTTTTCAGGATTACATTTTTTTTTTATTAATGCCAGATTCTCCCCAGGTGCCCTAAAGGAAAAAAAAATAGCCATAATTACCCTGCAGGTTCAGAGAGAGGGTTTTCTTAAGTGACCAAGTCACGTTTTAGAACTTTCCTGGGTGTTTTGGGTTTTTTAAAATGCTCTTTAGAGTTCCTCAGTTAATTGTACTTGGACCATGGCCTTGGACTAGTGCTGGTTCGTGAAGAAGATAAACATGCAGAAGCTTTTATACCAACTTGATTATAATATCTGCTGAATCTAATAATTTTATTTTATCATTTTTTGTGTGTATCATCAAATCAGATCTGACTGATACAGGAGGAGATTGCCCCTCCTTCTCCAGCAAAGCATCTGGTGGATTTGAACCATGTACCTCTGGGATTACAGTGCAGCTTCTTGCCACTAGGCTACCAGAGCTCCCTTGAATCTAATAATTTTAAAAATTATAGATAAAAATACTTAACCTATTTGTATCTATCATTTGATAGATAAAATGATAGATAAAAATGTGGGCTTATATGTATAGTCTTATCTTTCGAGTAATACACATATTTAGGGAGCTCCGGTGGCCTGGTAGTAAGGAGCTACGCTGCCCACCTACACGTACGTGGTTTGAATCCACCAGTTGCTTCTTGGGAGAAAGATGGGCAGTTTCTCTTGTGTGATTTATTACCTTTGAAAGCCAGCTGGTGAGTCAGCTGTGAGTTGGTTTTGACACCATAGTGCCTAACAGTACACTTTTACTGCATGCAAATGTTATTTCTAGTCTTCGGTAGAATATTTGTAAATTTAACACAAACTTAGGCTGGTCCTTTACTGGGGGAGTCTGAGCAGCACTCTCTGGAAGGAGGTGTGTGTGTTGGGTGCACAAGGAGGACATGGCACCCCCCACCCCAGCAGAGCCCTGACCCGGCTCCCCGAGCAACCCAACCTCCAGACTGACCCAGCCTCTCTTGGCAGGTATTCCTTCGTGAGTCCCTGGAGCAGACGTTGGAGAAGCGGCGTGAGGAGGAGGTGAGCCGGGCTGCCATGCTGATCCGGGCACACATCCTGGGCTACATGGCACGGTAAGAGTCCCACTCTCACCCCAGGGGCAGCCCCCCAACATATGTCTCCCATGTGAGCCATGTGCACTGTGTACAAAACAGAGCGAGGTCACAAGAGGGCCAGGCCAGGGGACTTGCCAGCAACACCATGGCCTGGGGTAGAAAAGGGGCACGTTCCTTCTTGGCATTTGACCTGGAGTAGGTATCAGGGGACGAGAGGACTGCCTTGTTTAAACACACACACGCGCGCATGCTCGCACACACACGTCATCTGACCTGGAGCAGGCATTGGGGACAAGAGCACTGACTTGTTTACACACATACACACACCTCCCATCTGACCTGGAGCAGGCAGGCATTAGGGGACGTGCTGCCTTGTTTACACACACACACACACACAGACACACACACTCTCACACGACATCTGACCTGGGGCAGGGCATCAGGGGACAAGAGCACACACACACTCGCGCACACACACAGACACTCACGACATCTGACCTGGGGCAGGCATTAGGGGACGTACTGCCTTGTTTACACACACACACACACACACACACACACACACACACGACAGCTGACCTGGGGCAGGGCATCAGGGGACGAGAGCACACACACACACACACACACACACACACGGCATCTAACCTGGGGCAGGCATTAGGGGCGTGTTGCCTTGTTTACACACACACACACACACACACACACACACACACACGGCAGGGGACACGAGCGCTGCCCTGTTTACACACCCCTCCACTCCCTGGCGGGTATGGAAGCCGCAGGCTGCCAGCATGTCCTCTCATTATCTCATGGGGTCAGCGGAGGCCCAGTCTGCTTGCAGCATCGCATGGTGTCACCTGTGCTGAACAGAAGGCCCTGCAGCCTCACCGAAGCCCAGCTCTCCTGCAGTCCTGCAGTTTGGTTTGGGGGTGTTTTGTTTTCCATGGAAGAAGAGGCCCCACCCTGGCAGTCGCTGTCAGTTCAGTTCTAACTCACAGCACCCCCATGTGCATCAGAGCCAAGGAGTGCTCTGTTGGGTTTCTGATGCTGGTTTTCCAGAAGTAGGTCACCAGGCCTCTCTGCTGAGGCACCGCTGGGTAGCCCTACCCTTTCAGTTAGCAGCCGCATGTATTAACCTCTGCACCAGTCAGGGGCCATGCGTGGGCAGGAGACAATGTGCAATCTTTTTTTGGTCCTGTTTACAGGCCGTCTTCCTGCCAAGACAATTGAAAGCAGGCATTAGGGAGTTGTGTATTTATGTAGCCAAAATAATGCTCAGGGCTGCGCTGTTTGGGATCATTGTTCTGTTTGTGTTGCTTTGTTTTTTTGACTGAAAGGCCCTTCTTGTCGTCTGTCTCTGTAATGAGCGAGAGAGAATAGGGGTATCAGTGAGAAGGGGGTCCCAAGTCTCTTGGTTTTGCAGCATTTGGGGGATGCTCCCTGGAATTGCTGGGAGCTGCGTTACCTCAGCAGTCACTTTGTGTTGACCCATATCTGTTGCGCATTTTTCAGAAAGCAGTACCGGAAGGTCCTTTGCTGCGTGGTGGTGATACAGAAGCATTTGCGAGCCTTCCTTCTGAGGAGGAAATACTTGCACCTGAGAAAAGCGGCCATCGTCTTCCAGAAGCAACTCAGGGGTCAGATCGCCCGGAAAGCCTACAGACGGCTGCTGGCCGAGAAGCAGGAGCAGGAAGAGAAGAGGAAGCGGGAGGAAGAGGAGCAGCGGGCACGGGAGGAAGCAGAGAGGTACCGTTGGCTTGGGGCTCGCTCGAGACCCAAGGACACTCCGTCCACACGTCAGGAATTCCTAGCTCGTCCCTTTGAACCCAGACTCTTGGGGTCTGATTTTTGTTGTGACTGTGGAGTCGGAACTGACCCATAGCTGCGCCCCTAGGTGGTCTTCAGAGGCAGAACATCACACAGGAGAAGATGGCCCGTCTATCCTGCGGAGCTGCTGGTGGATTCGAACCACCTGCCTTTGTGTTGGCAGCACAGCTCCTTACCACTCAGTCACTTTTGACTCACCACGAAGGCAAAATTTCTTAGCATTGTGACAGCTCAGCTATGTGTATGTATGTTCATGCACCAAACGGACAAGATGCCAAAAAAGAGGCTAGAACCTCCAGGCTTTTAAAATGGTCTGCAGAAAAGAGTGTTTGTAAAAATGAAATGAATTCTAGCTTTATACTAAGAAGCTGTTGGTTCTCACTTTCTTTTCTCTTTGTTTCCAGAGAGAGGGAGCGAGCGAGGAGGGAAGCCGAGCTGCGGGCCCAGCAGGTGAACGTGCTTTGATTACCTGGCTGCTTGTTCGTCCGTTTCCTTCACGTGTCCTGGGGTTATGCAAACTGTTAACACACCCAAATAATAACCAACAGGTTGAGGGTTCAGGTTCACCTAGAGGCACATTGGAAGAAAGGCCTGGCTCTCTCTTTCTGGGAAATTGGCCCCTGCAGGCCCTGGGGTGCCCAGTTCCACCCTGACACACCTAATTGTCTCCCTGAGTCAGAATTGCCTCTATGACAGTTGAGTCCTGGTTCAAATATTTGGGCTTCTAGGATGCAAAACTAAAACTCAAGAGGAAGGTAGCAAAGGAAGAGCTTTTGAAGAGATGTTGGAATGTTAGGACACGACTTCTGACCCTTTACGGTTGATTTCTCGGGAGGCTGAAACTTAGTGAATCTCTGAAATTGTTTCTCTAAACCCATGTAAAAGCTTGTTCTCACAGCTCTTTGTTTGCCATGTAAAGTCCCTAAGTGGTGCAAAGAGGTGACTGCTAACCTCGAAGTTGGTGGTTCTAATTCACCTCCAGTTCTGTGAGAGAAAAGCCTGCTAGCCTTTCTGTACAAGATCACAGCCAAGAACCCCCCTAAGGGCACAGTTCTCTTGTGAAGCCTGCAGATCCCTGGGGTCAGGGTTGCATCGCAAGCCACTGGTCCACTCTGGTGTCATTGCAGTGAAGGGTGTTTGCTGGGGTCTGGGAAGCCCCCCTCAGCTCCCGCTCGCCCTGTGTCCAGGAGGAAGAGGCCAGGCGGCAGCAGGAGCTAGCCACCCTGCAGCAGCGCCAGAGGGAAGCCGAGCTGGCGCGGGAGGTGGAGAAGCAGAAAGAGAACAGGCAGGTGGAAGCCATCCTGCGCCTGGAGCGTGAGATCGAGGACCTGCAGCGCCGGAAGGAGCAGCAGGAGCAGGCGCTGACCGAGGCCTCGCTGCAGAGGCTGCAGCAGCTGCGGGATGACGAGCTCCGGAGGCTGGAGGACGAGGCGTGCAGGGCGGCCCAGGACTTTCTTGAGTCCCTCAACTTCCACGAGATTGACGAGTGCGTGCGGGACATCGAGCGCTCGCTGTCGGGGGGCAGCGAGGGCCTGGAGCCCGCGGGCAGGGACAAGCCCAGCTTCAACTTCAGCCAGCCCTACCCGGAGGAGGAGGTGGACGAGGGCTTCGAGGCGGACGACGACGCCTTCAAGGACTCGCCCAACCCCAGCGAGCACGGCCACTCGGACCAGAGGACCAGCGGCATCCGCACGAGCGACGACTCCTCCGAGGAGGACCCCTACATGAACGACACGGTGGTGCCCACCAGCCCCGACGCCGACACCACCGTGCTGGCCGCCCCCGTGGGCCCGGACGCCGGCAGCCTGCACACCTCGTCCAGCGGGGAGTCTGCCTACTGCATGCCCCAGACCCCCGGCCACCTGCCCTCGCCCGACGGCGACTACGACTATGACCAGGACGACTACGAGGACGGTGCCATCACCTCCGGCAGCAGCGTCACCTTCTCCAACTCGTGCAGCAGCCAGTGGTCCCCAGACTACCGGTGCTCGGTGGGCACCTACAACAGCTCGGGGGCGTACCGCTTTAGCTCCGAAGGGGCGCAATCCTCGGTGAGTACCGCCACCATCCCAGCCTGTGGCCACCCCGCCTCCGGCCACAGAGTAGAGCTGCTCCCAGAGGGTTGGTTTTGGCTGGAATCTTTGCAGACACAAAGCACTCGGCAGCTCTATAGAGAACAGACTTAGCAGTCAGCTCCCCTAGAAAGATCACAGACTAGGGACCCCCTTCTGGGGCAGAGGCACTCTGTCTCGTAAGGTTGCCACGAGTCAGAATTGATTCAGAAGCAGGTCACCAAGGTTTCCTCCATGGAGACAGCGGCTAACCACTTTGTCTCCCATGGATGTGGGAATTGTCCGTGGCCCACACCCCATAGAATCAGCCTCTGCGCCGGGTCCCACCCCAAGATCACACAGACATTTCCAAACCAGCCTCACAGATAAGCTTGAATGTCTCTCTTCCCTGCAGCACTTGTGTTAGTAAGTAACTTTGATGTCCCTTTTTGTGGATGAACTGTCCTTAATATTAAGATGCCTTATTGCTGGCAAGTGAGAGCTGACTCAGAGCTGGCCCTCCAGTGGGTTTTGGGAGGCTGTAAGTTGCACAAGAGAAGATTGTCCATCCCCCTGTGAAGGTGCTGATGGATTCAGACGTTTATAGAGATGGCCTAGGGGACTCCCTCACTAGAGCTTCAGGAGATGGTGCTTGAGGATGTGTGTGTGTGTGTGTGTGTGTCTCTCTCTCTCT